GTTCTTGTTGCCCACGCTGGAGTGCAATAAAACAGTCTCAGCTAACTGCAACTTTCGCCTCCCAGGTTCAAACGATTCTCCTGCCTCAGCCTCCCAAGGAGCTGGGATTATAGGTGTGCACCACCATGCCTGGCTAGTTATTTTGTATTTTTAGTAGAGATGGGGTTTTATCATATTGGCCAGGCTGTTCCCAAACTCCTGACCTCAGATGATCTACCCAACTCAGCCTCCCAAAGTACTGGGAATATAGGCGTGAGCCACCGTGCCCAGCCTACTGTGTATTCTTTATCTACCATGGTTCTATGTTCCTCAGTTAAGAATTCTTTTTTCTTTTAATTTCTTTTTCAGTAAACAAGAGAGGGTGGTGGTAAGCAGGGATGCTGGATATGAATATTCAAATAGATTAGAATAAAAGTTTGGTAGCTTTATCCATTCCTGTCTAGCTTCTTACATTTGCTATTATGCCAACAATATATTCATGTTCTCTTCAAAGATTAGTAGTACATGTTCAGCATAATCAGCTAAAAAATACAAAAATATATAAAGAAAAATACCAATATTCTCCCCATTCCTGTTCAGCAACCTTTCTGCTTCCAAATCAAGGTGGAAATTTTTCCACCAATATTTATTAAAACTTAGTTATAGGGCTGGGTGCAGTGGCTAATGCCTGTAATCCCAGCACTTTGGGAGGCTGAGGTGGGCGGATCACTTGAGGTCAGGAGACCAGCCCGCCCAACATGGTGAAACCCCGCCTCTACTAAAAATACAGAAAAAATTAGCTGGGTGTGGTGACAGACACCTGTAATTCCAGCTTCTGGGGAGACTGAGGCAGGAGAATTGCTTGAACCCGGGAGGTAGAGGTTGCAGTCAGCTGAGATTGTGCCACTGCACCCCAGTCTTGGCAACAGGGCAAGACTCTTTAAAAAAAAAAAAAAAAAAAAAAAGATTTAGTTTTGACAATGCAGTTTGTTAGGTACCAAGCAACCATAACAGTTATAATGTTAAGGAAGCCAGTGCTAGATGGAATCTGTTATATCATACTCCAGACTTTTCTTCATAATCATACACAGTCATATGTAGCATTTTTCTAATTATTTATATGTTTGTTGGTTTGTTTTGTTTGTTTTGTTTTGTTTTGTTTTGAGACAGAGTCTCATTCTGTCACCCTGGCTGGAGTACAGTGGTGCAACCTCTGCTCACTGCAACCTCTGCCTCCCGGGTTCAAGCCATTCTCATACCTTAGCCTCCTGAGTAGCTGGGATTACAGGTGCACGCCACCACTCCTGGCTAATTTTTGTATTTTTAGTAGAGACAGGGTTTCGCCTGTTGGCCAAGCTGGTCACAAACTCCTGACCTCAGGTGATGGTGCCTGCCTCAGCCTCCCAAAGTTCTGGGATTACAAGTGTGAGCTACGGTGCCCAGCCTATATGTTTGTTTTTTAAAAAAAAGTCATATTGTTTATATCAATCTACCATTTACTTTTCTTAGTTAATGTCACATCCTGAACATCTCTCTAACACCACATCCTGAACATCTCTCTAGGTTAGTAGCTACAGTTCTAGCTTAAGTCTTTTTTATAAATTATATAATATTCCATAGTAGGGATACATATATACACATACACACACATATCATGATTTATTTAGCCATTTTCTTATTGATGGATGTTCAAACTGGTGTGTTTGTTCAAACTGGTTTTATTTTTTTGGCCTTCCCAACAATGATACAATAAATATATACTTATATGTATATCCTTTTGCCCTTGTAATTTTTTTTCTAAATGATAGATTCCAAGAAGTGACATTTTTAGGTCACAGTCTATGCATACATTTTTAAAAATTTTCACAGCTATTGACAGTTTACTTCTCTGAAAGGAAATTGCATTTTACATTTCCACCAGCAACATGTAAAATTGCACATTTTTCTTCATCTTGTAATATATGTTTCTCCTATTTTCAGTTTTTGCCAATCTGGTGAGGGAAGAAAAACTACCTCCCAGCTATTATAATCTTAATTTATCTAAATATAAGTGGTAATGAGTGTATCGTCATGTATTTATTGGACATTCTTCATGTATTTATACAATTCACCCATTCATAGTTTAGTGAATTGCCTATTTGCATTGGCAACTGGATCAGTATTTCTATTGTTTTTCTAAAATATCAATTTATAAAAATTTTCTATATAGCAGCACTTTTAAATTTTTTTTCTCCCTGCTGTGCTGCAGATACCTTTTCCAGTCTGCCATTTGTCTTTTGACTTTTTGTTGACATCTGCCATTAAAAATTTAATCATATATTTCCTTTGCATGGGAAAAGATCCTGGGTAGCCTTTTGGTCATCTTCTATGCAAAAGTTAAATGATTTTTCATCTTTAATTTTATGTTTATGTTTTAAATTCATTTTATACACGTATTTTATATACTTTAATACATCTGAAATTTATTTTTTGTCTATGATGTGAGGTAGGGGTTTCTTTCTTTTTTTTTTTTTTTTTTTTTTT